CCGTACCATAGTTTACAGTGCCGCAGTATTCCCCGAGAAGCGGATCACTTGATGAACTTCCATCTCTAACTTTCAGATATCCACAAGAACAGCTATCACAGCTGTACATGTTCATCGCGTCGAGAGTAAGCTCCAGGTTGTAACCCGTCTCTGTAGATATTTTGAATGTGCAGCTTGAATAGGGAGCCCAGGTGTTCCAGAAGCCACCATAATCTGACTTGATGGTTGTCGAGCTTGAACTTTCAAGGTAAAAGGCTTGAAATGAAATATGAAATAAATATTTCCAATTAACGTTTAACTAAAAATCGAAAATAAAGGATTCTTAACTGAAGGGTTTCAAGTGTCCCAGTGTCTTATATTTGCTTATTTTTTATATTCTTATATTTGCTAATTAATGTGTTTTAAAATCTCTATTGTGTCATAATTGAAGGAAACCACCATTCCTAAGCTCATGGCACGTCAAGGAAGTGAATTTCAGAACCAAAGAGCTAACTTATGATTGGAACAGTATTGGAACCTGTGTTGGTATACGAGAGACCTCTTGGGACCAAGTCATAAAAGAAGTACCCTCACAGTTCCCGAAAAAAAAAAAAAACCCCAAAAAAACCCAAAAAACTGTGAACACTTTAGAGGAAAAATAAAGGGTCTTACACTCGAATTTGTAGAGAGTTATTTTCACAGATTCAAATGAGATACACCAGCCATGAATAGGAATGAGAAAGAATACCAGCTATCTCTCACACGAACGCAAAGATAATGACTCTACGAGCTTAAGTGCTCTGACCGCATGCACTGGAATGACAACACAGTTAACTCTCCCTGACGATATTATTAGTACTGAGAAAGATGACCGACATAAGAAGGAAAAATTGGCCACGTTTACGAAAATTGTGTATTTATCACTCCTGTCTGTCCAGGTTGTCGTCTGATTGACTACAGAAAGATCTTTAAGGTAAAGCGGCTCATAGAGCGCTATAAATTCTAGAAACGTAAATATAAAACAGGATTTCTAGCACGCGTCAATTTCCATTTAATGACATGGCCTTTGAGTGCGGCTTCCGTGAAATGCAAGTAGTACTAGACAGGGACCTTCCTTGGATGGGTTACCCACAAACTCTCCATGTCGGGAATTCACCTTTTCATTTTAATTTCTAAGTCATCCTTTTCGGTCAATTTTTTAATCACATGTTCCGGGAAAATGATTCAATTTTGTAAAGTACTTAACTTTGCAAAAGTCTGAGTTCACTAACAAATCCCTTTACTGCGGAAGTCGTTGACCTGATATTTAAAGACAACTCCATGTTTCTGTACAAGTATGCTCTCGGTAAGCTATAGAAAATTGGTAAACTTACTTATTGCAGAGCTGTAACTACTACAACTGTGATATGCAGACCGCGTTGTCGGGTAGACAGGTCTGTATGTAGTCCAGGCTGGAGCATTTGTCGGAGAGCTGTACAGTGCCAGGAATCCCGAATAGGAGGTGTAAGAATTAGAGCGGAACTTAACAGTTAGAGAATTAGATGAGGAGTAGATGGAGGTTGGAATTTGAGACCCGCAGTACTTCCCAATCCGATGGTAGTAACCATCTAGCACCTCCACGTAGTCGTCTAGACAATCAAAGTCATACTCCAAGTTGAACCTTATGAACGTCAAATTAATCCTTTTCCACCGAGGTGCTTGAATATACCAGTCACAATAGCTGTTGGCCGGATAACTCCAAGGAAAATTAGGACTGTAAATGACACCAGCTGAGGTGCCAGGAATGATTGATGGACAACCTGAAATGTGTGAACACACAATTATAAATGACTCACGCGATGTTTACCGCTGCAAAACATCCTAAACGTTTCCTGATTCCAGTTGCACGCGAAGACCTCTGCGAACAGTTTGCGTATAAAACTAGACTGTGAATGAGAGCGAACAAGTGTCGCTAAAACCGATAAGGGCTCGTGGTTAGAGCAAACTTCGCTCAATCACAACCCATCAACAAGTTCTGCCGGGGCAGCTCAAGCTGCGTTGAAGTTGAAATTGCCGGAAAACAAAATTAAATAACTAAATGTCACGCGCAACTGCGAGATAGTTTTGCACGAAATGTGCATTAACGAAGAGTCACTTGGGACTCCGCTGGATGCCTCTGTGTTTTTCATTTCTAGAGGTCAGTAGCTTGACAAATGGTCACCCAAGGGCGTGAAAGGTTGACAAGACTTTGGAAGCAAAAAATCCCAACTATGCGAGTGTGCCTTCTTTGAACAAATTACTAGGGTACGAAAATTTAACGGATGGCCCTGAAATTTGGCCCGCAAATTCCCGCGATATAAAACTCTAAAAACCGTTTTTCGAAATTGATCTTCAACAACGGCTTCCGATGTAACCTACAGTGGAATTGCACTGAAAATAAAGAGATAAGTTATAATTAACAGGCAAAATTGAAAGATGCATGGTTAAATCATAATTGGAGCACAGAGGAACAGTGAGGTTCTTTGGCTAGCTCCTATAAATTATCACTACTATTACTATTATTATTATTATGCAGTATACACGTTTGGAAGCTAGTGAGCTAAGCAAGATAGGGCGAAAAATTCGTAACCTATCTGCATGACAGGACTGTTAACTATAATAATATCTAATACTACTTAAATATAAATGATCACTATAAAACGATAAAAGTGTCAATTGGCCCAATACTAAGATAATTTTTTTTTTTTTTTAAATGTTCATGATTTACTGTTCGGTTCTTAAAATATCCTTAACTTAAAATGTTCATAAAATCCTGTTCATAAAAACCAAATCATAATGTCATTAAAATTCTTACGCTGTAACCAGTTTAAATGTTCTTGCAATGTTCAGAGTGCTACTTAATACAGCTTTCTGCATTCTCAGCAATATTTCTTTGTATCTTGTACCAAAGAAGCCCTTCATTTCAGTTTCCATGGCT